ATGACAAAAACAAGGCTTTTAAATAGCTGTGATATATAGTCATCCACAGACAGACTGTTTCGCTGTATCACAGTTCCTCAGTGTGGCTAGACATCAGATTGCTTCAAGCCAGGATATATATATATATATATATATATATATATATATATATATATATTTAGGTAGCAGATCTTCATTCAAGCATGTTTGTCTGAATGATCTGGACATATGTCTATTTTTATTTTAATCCTCTCAAATTCTCAGATCAATTTCTTAATGTTGATATTAAATTCAGAAATTTAATTTCTGGAGTTTTGTTTTTTTTATTGTCTTTTAAATTTCCAAACTGATGTGCAGCAAAACATTGTTAACAGTGATATATGCACTTGTAGAAATAAAAGCAGATGTCCATTAGATGGAGAATGCAAAACTGAAGCAGTAATTTACAAAACAGAAGTAATAGATACAAATGGACAGAAAAAATATACATACTGAGGGTAATTTTAAAGAGGTGTTACAATCATAAGTCATCTTTTAAGCTAGAAAACTTTAGAAATTCTACTAAACTAGTCAACCATGTGTGGAAATTAAAGGAGAAAAAAAATACGATTGTAAACTGGAAAATTTTTAAAAAAAAGCAAAACGTACAACAATTATAGCAATATCTGCAACCTTTGTCAACAAGAGAAATTAGCTATAACATTTCCAGACCAAAAAAAACTTAATTCTGAGATCGGAAATTATGTCCCATTGTATTCATACTAAAGAGTTCCTTTTGAGTTCATTTGAAGTGGGATAAAAAGAACACATGTATATTTCATTTAATCTTCCACTGATACATTTCCAATAAACTTGATTTTCCCCCCCTCCACCTCACCTTCTACCACACCTCATGTTGTGCACTTATTCATTTATTTATTTTATAATATAGTGTTTATAAATTTTTATTTTTAAAAAAAATAAAGCATTAGGAAATCAATTGACAGAAATTGTATGATGATACCAAAAGTGTTATGGTCCGGTTCCTTGTACCACGGTGATAGTCCAAGGTAGAACCAATAAAGAAGAATTTGAAGGCGGATATGGAATAACACAGATATATTACAAACAGAAATATATACAGAGAGGTAGAAAAGTGTTAGTATGAACAATCAGGTTTAGTAGTAATTGTCTGAACGCGACTGTTTCGGACTGCCTCTGACTCGACTGACTGACTGACAGACACCTGATGGAAATCACTCCAGACGGAACTCCCTGCTTCCTCGAGGCACAGTATTTATTACGTATGGAATAGTCCAACTACTGTTTCCTGGTTTAATTCAACTCTGACCATTAACGTCTTTATTATAATAATAATAATTATATATATATATATATATATATATATATATATATATATATATATATATATATATATATAATAAATAAATAAATAAAGGTGTATTTAAGGCAGCAACAATGTGTCCAAACAATTTTTGTTAAATTCAACCAACAAGGTCTGTTTATTATATTTTTCCAATTTATGAATGGTGTGTTGTATATTAGAACTAAAATGATGAATAAACTGTTCAAAGTCCATGTTTTTTCTTGTTCTGTTCAAATACTTTTGACTATCTGAGTCATTATCAAGAGGTGGATGTTTACCATATGTAAACAAATTTTGACAAAATCCTGATGATTTTAGATCATTGGAATTGGCACCAAACTACCGAGATTAACAACACAAAGTTATTACATTTCAAAATTGTAAAAACATAATAAAAAAATTAAAGTTTTATTATTATAAATTATAGCTCTATTGTTATAGATTGAGTACTATTTTATCAACAGCAGCACTCTATGTGTGATATATATATATATATATATATATATATATATAAATTTCGCACAATTAACCTGCAGAAAAAGACATAACATGTATAAAGGAAAAATACAATAGGAAAACTGTAGTTTTAGCTGAATATTTTTTCCCAATATCACCTTTACTAACAGAATCACTACTCTCCCAAGCCAACGTACACAATAAATATATCAAGAAATCCAAACAAAATAGTTGAATCCGTCAACACAACAATACAAACAATATTTCTACATGTGAAAATACTCTCTTCAAACAATTGACATAATTTTTCAGTTTAACCATATGAATATACAATAGCATTTCTAAATTCTGATTACTAACAATATTTAGTTTGTTTATACATACTTTGTTTCAATAAATTCATTTCATTTTTTGCTTTGGAAAAGTTCATATTTGACGGAAAGCATAAGCTAAAAGTTTTTCTATTGTCTTTTTTCATTGATTTATATATATATATATAAAATAATAGCTGGCCAGTCATTTTCAAGGATACCTGTCTGCTAGGGTGGCTAGCCAATCCATATTGCAGAAACCCACTCAGGCACATTTGTGTTTGCTCAAAACCCACAGAGCCCACCTGTGGTTTATACAGCAACTATGCTGAGCAGACCTTAGTTACAATTTCTGGGAGAGAGCATGTTATCTAGCATGATCAACAATTTGAACAAGGCCAGCATGCTCAAGCCCTCAAATATATATATATATATATATATATATATATATATACACACGATAATGTATCAAATGCGCATAAAGAAATTTTAGCTGCTTTTTTTTTTTATCTGGAACTGTTATTGTAAAATATTTGATTTATATGATTATACATTCACCATTGATTTAAGTGCATTGAAAAGGAAGGAAATTGTGTTGAAAAATAAATGTCTTGTGTAAAATAAATGCCTTTTTTTTTTTTAAATCATTAGATTACCAACTTACTGACAAACCTACATAATTTATTTGAGCATTTTTAGTGCTGTTTCTGCTACAATAACTGTCAAAGATAGAAAATTGATTGTGCAAATCGCCAAGATTTTGTTATAGATTTTTCCTCCGTGCCAGTATAAATGCCTTATAGTTACATAAGCAGCCTGCATCATGAACAACACAGCAATCCTTTCTCATTAATTAATGGCTATATTGATTGTACTTACTTGCTTTTGATCGACAAATACCACCGTTCTTTCACAGTTTGATGACCAGATATGAAAATATATCAGTCTTTTTATAAGCATTGTCATGAACATCTGTATCATAATTATTACATTCATATAGAATATATAAATTTATTCATTATTATCATTATAATCAGTCATGTGACCCAAAGAAAAAGTAATTACATATTCAAGATGTTGATGTTCCACACTGCTTTGAACAAAAGGTTTGGAAGAAAAGTGCAGTTAGTGGACTTGGAGAAACTTATTTTCCTAAAAAATTGTTTTAATAGAAAGGTTTTATAAATTTCAACCAAAAGTAGCCCTAGCAATTTGTTCAATGAATGTCAAATGTTTCCATATAAGGAAATGGCTTACTATGAATGAAACCTATGAGTCTTGGTGAAGACCACACTACTTTGAACCTTGTAGTCTTGCACTAAAGAATCACAAACAAAGAACTGTACCAAATAGCAGAAACCACATCACTTAAGGACTTTCAACAACAGCAACAATTAATGAATATCGCATGTAACACAAAGATAAATTACTGACATAATCAAGATGCTGACATTTCACCCCTTTTCAAATAAAAGTTTAGGAAGAAAGACCCCCATCAATACTTGAAAGAGTGATAACAGCGAACTTAAGAAACCTATTTTCCAGAAAAATTGTTTTAATAGAGAGGTTTTATAAATATCAACAGTATCTTTGGCTATTCAGTCAATGAATGTAAAATATTTCCATATCAGTAAATGACTTATATTCCCATTACCATCAACAGATTTTATTAACCACATTAGCATCTTCTGTACAGTTTCTACCCCTACCATCACTAGGTATATTGTTACAATCAGTAGTAACTTTAGCTACCTTATTACCATCACAATGATTACTTCCTTGGCAATCTTTAACCTTTATGCCTGCAAACAAAAAAAAAAAAACAAAAAAACACAACAGTGTGTCAAAAGGAGGTTTTTTTTCCCTTGATGCCACTATTATTTTAACTACCTTTACTTCTCATATTTAATATTTTTGTTGTAAATTCTCAAAAACAAAAAATATGTATAAATTCACTTTCATGTTTACGTTATATTACAATTATAATCATTGCTTTTTAAAACAATAAACATTACTGAGGAGTGAAGGTAGTTAAAATAATAGCCATGTCAAAGGAAAAATCGTCCTTTTGATACACCATCTTTTGAGGCATGATGGTTAAAGATTGCCACTACTTTTATGTGTCATGTCCCTTCAGGACATGGGCGATCACGACTATCAACAATTTCCTGTCTTTTGTTGCTTTTTGTTCTCCTGCTATCTATTCAAACTTGTGAAAAGTGTTAATTGTTTCCCCTTACTTCTCTTACCTTCAATAACTCCTCTAAATGTTTCACCAAAACTTCTTTCTTCATTGTGTGTCACAGAAATTTCAGCTGTCCAAGTTTTGCTGTAGATATGTCCTATTCTTGCTCACACATCAAGTTACTTCCTCTGTGAAGAGACTGTCCTGCATTTATTGCCATGTGGAAGAGTAAATATTACATAACAGTTCAGCTCCAATTTTCCAATTACTTAATACTTTGCTTAATTTCTGGAAGTCATCTATTGCTATTCTTATGACTCTTAAGATTTCTGTGTCACATTTTAGGTCATCTGTTACTACAATACCCAAATCATTAGATTTCTCTGCCTGCTTGATTTTGATGCTCCCAGTAGTATATTGATTGATTCATTCATTTTCTATGGCTTATGAACTCATTGAAGGATATTTAAAACCAGAAAATAATTTTAGATTGCAAGATTTATTTTTTGGGATTATAATAATGGTTTAGTGATACAAATCTTACTAATTAACCCATACCTGGGGAGAGAAGAGGTATATTCATACCTTCCCCAAGGGTACTCATGCGTAAGTGGATATAAAAAAAACAAAGGGAATTCAAACTCAGCTCTGATTAACAATTCAGATCCATTATCAAATACACCACCTGCAGATCCAAGCTTAAAGCACCTGGTATTCCCATGCGCTCACCCATCTAAGTACTGACCAGGTTCGACATTGCTTAACTTTGGTGTTGATTAGGATCCAGTGTTTCAATGTGATATGGCCTTAAGCCCTCAATAGTATAGCTTACATAATGAACACTATCTTGAGTTGACAACAGTGCATTCTGCCTTCTACATAGTGATGAACAGGTTTTAATGGTTTCTACAGGCTTCCAGAGATGTGAAACAAAATTATTTGTATAAACACTGCATATTGAAAGATGCAACAAACTTTTATTCGAACCCCATGCATCAGCTTAGTGGAGGGAAAAAGCAGTAACAGAATAGTTCTACAAAGATCATTAAATATGAATGCTATGAAAACGAAGAGGTTTTACTTTGAGTGGATCAAGTGAAATACTACATTCTACATCCCTGGTGTCCTGTGGGAGTTGCTGAATCAAGTGAGACTGAGATCTAAACATTGCCAAAACAGACAACAAAAACAAGAAAATGGGTCAGAAATAACCACATCGCTTCTTTTAAGCATCATGTTCCTTCAGGACATGTGTGTTCATGGTTCTCCATAACTTTCCTGTATTATTATTTTAAGTAACTTTTGACTCTTTACTATCCCTCTTTGTCCTTGTTACTAGATTGGCAATTAGGTCTCATCATTTTACTGTTGAAATAAGTAGATGTAACTGTAAGTTCTATTTTAATAGTTTCTTTCCTTGCACTTCACATCTGTGAAACTCTCTTTGGATTTCTTGCTTTTCTGTCATCTACAATCTTCAAAAATTTAAATGTAATGTCAATCACCATCTTCTGTCTTCCTGAATCCTGTTCTTTTATTGTCCTTTTCTCCTCACTAAAGTCTTCTCATTCTCTTTCACTCCCAGTAACCCCTTGCATCTTAGTGGCATTATCGTCATCTTCTGTTTTTTCTGAAACCTGTTCTTTTATTGTCCTTTCTCCTCACTAAAGTCTTCTTTTTCTCTTTCACGCACAGCAACCTCTTACATCCTAGTACATTATCATCTTGTTAAGGATGAAATGATTAAGAAAAAAAAAGTAGGTGACTCAATTTCTTCCTTTTTTATCCTTAATTATGCCCTGTGAGTGTTAGATATTCCAAGTCCTTTTTCCTCATGATGTGTTCTAGAAATTTCAACTCTTTCTGATTCTAAGTATCAGGTTCCTTTTAGTTCTTATTTTCCTTAATTCTTCCTTGTTGCTTGCATGTTCTTGTCCATGGTATTGTTAACATTCATTGGTAGAACCACATCTCTTGTCACTTTAAGACCCTTCATCTTTGAAGAAATTGTTCATTGCTATATAAGAAATTAAATATTACATAGCAGTCCAATCCTACTTTTTTTATGGTAATAATATTTTCCTATACCTTTGTACTTTGCTAAATGGATGGCTATTCTTAAGCTCCTTCAGATCAGTGTCATATTTTCTGTCATCTGTTAATACACTGTAACTGCATGTTGTCAGCAAAAAGGAACAGCCCAACATGCAAATTACAAATTGGAGCTATAAAAAAAAAAAAAAAAAAAAAAAAATAAATATCTTGGAATTTTTTAATAGAGGACAGAAAATGTGACACCAAAATCCAAAAGCATGTTGGAATAGTGAAAAATGCCTTCCAAAAGCTAAACAAAATATTAAAAAACAGGAAAATCTCATTAGAAACAAAGAAAAGAATACTTAACTGTTATGTAATATCAGTCCTCCTATATGATAATGAATGCTGGAGAATCTCTTCAAAGATGAAGAAGGAACTTGAAGCAATAGAAATGTGATCTACAGAAGGATGCTGAGAATACTATGGACTGAACATGTAAGCAATGACAAAGTTCTTCAGGAAAATGGAAGCAAAAAGGACACATAGTTCAAATCAAAAAGAAATAGCTGAAATTTCAAGAGCACATAATGAGGAAAGAGGGCTTAGAAAATTTGATGCTCATAGGACATACTGAAGGCAAGAGAGACAGGAAATCAGTACATGACCTACCTTACAAGCTTGTGTAAATGGTTGACAGAACTGGGAATAGGAGAGATACCAATAAGACAAAATTTATTAAGAGCTATAAAGGACAGGAAATTGTGGAGAGCTATGATCACCCATGTCCGGAAGAAACTTGGCACATATTAAATTTACTGTTCACTGTTATTACCAATTCAACTAAATGACATTGTAATTCAGATATAACAATTCTTACTTAAATTTATGTTAACTTTGTAACAGGAATTTTTTTTCAAAAGAAGCTATCTTTGTTAATTTTTATTGTAAATTTTATATTGAAACTGATTTTGATGAACAAATCATAAAAAATTATATCAAAATCTTTCAATATTCAACAATATTCTAGAATGTACTAGATATTCACACAAAGTGTTGTGCAAAAAAAGGGAAATAAAAGAGAAAGTTAGTCTAAAGAAAATGATATACAATAGCTAGCTATTCTTGTAGACCACCATCACTGCAATGAATTTGATCCTCACTAGATGATTCAAACCTACAGCTTTGTAATATACTATGCTTAGTAAATCTCAATGAGTTCTTTAATATTGCAAACAATCAAACTTTTGATCAGGTCTTTCTTAATTCCTATCATTCATGTACTTTTAATATTTAAAATAATAAAGATGGCTCATAAAAAGAAATGAAAAACAAACACTAAAGATAAATGTCTACAGTCATATCTACATGTTCCTTGTTATCTGAAGAGGATGATTATAACAGATGTTACATTAGCAGGCTGAGATTGTATGTAATTATATATTTACATGTTTGATCAAGTTTTCCTTTCTTGTCTCAATAAGCAAGTATAAAACAAAGGTTATAAATTATAAATCGTAATAGATAATCAATAATGAATTTATACAGTTTAGCCTGAATAGATAGGAGCACATAAAAAGGCTTTCAATAGATGCAGCCTTTCTGTTTTCATTACTGGTCGATGTGCCATCATTTTCATGGCATCTTTGCTTTGATTTCTGAAACCTTTGTTTAGACAATAAATTTTTATCCTTCTGTTTCTCAACTACCCTTTACTGCCTAGGTTATTGTTCTTTAGTTTCATCTGCTGAGCCTGGGCAAGACAGAAAGAGAGGAAAAAAAAAACATACACAGTAGTAGCTTTATCAATAACTGATAAATGGTCTTCTATGTGTTGTGTTCCTTCAGGACATAAGCGATTGTGGCTCTCCACAACTTCTTTTCCTTTGGAGGTCTTAATTTAGCATTTTTGTTATATCTCCTAAACTGTTCTGCCAGCCATTTCAGTTATTTCTCTTTATTTATTTATCTATTAATTATGTACATAATAGAATAAAATATATGATTTGAACTCTTTCTGCTTTATGTGCTGTGTCCCTTCAGGACATAAGCAATCATGCCTCTCCACAACTTCCTATCTTTCATAGCTCTTACTAAATTTTTTGTTATTTCTCCTAAACCTTGTTCTGTCATTCATTTACTCAAGCTCTCTAGGAGGTTGTTGTGGAGTGATTTTGCAGTGGAGGTTTGTATTTGTACTAAATCGGTCCTAAAATAGGTTCGATGTACAAAACGTTAAGAACTTGATATAATAGGTATTACGTAGAGTAATCTTGTTGTGGTCGCTGATACTTTCGTATTCGACTAACTGTCGTCCAACATCGACTGACTGACCCTCATTTCTATTACTACTCCTACTTATATTAGGTAGGAGAGTCTATTAACTATAGAATAGGTGTGTTTCACCATAACAGAGGTTATGCATTATTTTCCTCTGTCTGTTTTGCCTTCAATCTGTCCTGTGAGTATCAAATTTTTCAAGCCTTCTTTCCTCGTTATGTGCCCTAGCTAAATCATAGGTACAAACCTGTTCAAAATAACTCCTTGGACATAATTATGAGAAATGTGAGCCATTAGAGACATCTTCTTCTATCTTTTCTTTAGTTCCTTGATTTCATGAATTTAAGTGCAGTACTAGATTGGCAGCTAGGTCCCATCATTTTATTGTTAAAATAGTTTGATGTAACCCTAAGTTCTATTCTAATAGTTTCTTCTCTTGATCTCCTTGACTGGTGAACTCTCTTCTGGGTTCCTGTTAACTACAATCTTCAAAAATTTAACATCAATCATCATTTTCTTTTTTTTGAATCCTGTTTTTATTTTGTTCACTAACATTTTTTCACTTTCTTTCACTCTCAGTAGCATTTTCTGTCATAGTGGCTTTTTCACCTTGCTTGGGGTGAAATGATTAAAGGAAAAAAAATTAGAAAAATAATAAAAAAATTCAAGTATATATATATATATATATATATATACATACATACACCAGATATCCATTTTTTTTTCTTTTTCTTTTAAAGTTCATCCAATACAACGCTTGAGTACCATTCAAGGTACAGGGTTAGTGAATGAGTTAGGCGATATAAATGTAAGCGGTTGAAGGAAATGAAGATTATCAGGAGAAGGAGGACATTTAACAATTAACTATTGACTTGAAGAGGTTAAGACTGTAGGATTCAGGGAAGTTTTACAAAGTAGCTGTTCTTGAGAAAAAGTTGTTAATGAGCAACTTCCTTCTTAAACTGGGATATGGAAAAAATGAGAGTGATTTGACTACATTGAAATAGCATGGTAAGTCCAGGCTATAAAGGTCTTAACTAATGTAACTGAATATTGTAGCTCATCTGAACATTTGCCATGGAAATAGTAGTTAGAATCTTGTGACATTGTGTTCGTACAAAAGATGCAGTGGAAAATAAGCCATTCCCTACAAGACTATAAAATCAATTTTGAATCAATTCTGGAAAGTGAATATTGAGCATCTCCAGGTTAGATGCAACAGTAAACACTTCATTTTTCGTCTAATCTGTCTCTAAAGCATGGAGTGAATTTAGGTCCCAATTGATGCTTAAAGCATGGAGCCTTGTTGAGAAAGTAATTGTTCATCATGACTGGAAAAAAATTCAGAGTTTAATCAGTGATGATGTAAATGATACTAACTTGGATTGTGAGGTACTGAAAGTTACAAGATTTTTTTCTTTCTTCCTTTATTGAACTAGGTTAGTGGAGAGATCAGCTGTAGTGTTCTGAACATTACCATATATATTTTCTAA